CTTAATAAAATAAGTTATGAATATTTATTACCCTATTTTTACCTGAAAATTGAATAATTCAATTAATTTTACTATTAATTATTTAATACAAAATTAATATACTGCAAGATCCTAACTTATCTTTAAGAAGCCCCCGATAAAGATATCCAAGATAAAATACGTTCCTTAAGCTGGACCGATGGACAGGCAGGGAACGGGGCGTGCTCCTTGGGCGATGGGCAGCGGGATGGGGAGGAGGACAGCACTCATCCTGCCCCTTGCCGTGGAGCAGGGTTGGTCCTCCCCAGCAATCCCCCCTATGTCAGAGGGATCGGTCGATGCTGACCCCATCCCTGCTCCATCCCCGGCTGCAGCCCCTCTCCCGCCCCCCAGGCGCCGACAGCAGGGAGGGACAGGCTTGGAGCAGGGCTCACCGCACATGGCGATGCTCTCCAGGGGAGACGGGCACGTTTCTTCTCACTTTTACATCCCCCCAGGCAGTTTTGCTGAAACAATAATTGTATTAGGTTTTCCTGCCATGCTCCCTCTAAATCTCATTGCAGATTGGTACCCTCCGCTCCAGCCTAGGCACGAGCCCACATTTAACATAAAAAATTGAATTTCTCAGGAAATTTCAAAACTCTGGAGCCAGCAAAAATCGCTAAAAAAGTAACAGAGGAAAACAATGATTGTTGTGAGTGCATTTTCGATCGGGAAAAGTGATTTCTAACCAGTCTAATGTAATCTGCATCTCCTGTTTTAGTGACCAGCATCAGCAAAAGCTGAGGTGAATAAATGGTAGAATAGTCCTCTCCAAGACACGACGCCTATGACAAAAGAAAGCCGGTTACTTATTTTTCTGCTTTTCGCTACCTTGGCACGTCCTTAGGACTCGAGCTGGGTCCAGCTTCCCTGAAGTCTCGGCTCACCGTGGGGGCCGCGAAGCATTGCCCCTCGCAGCCCACGCCTGCTCCCGAGCGAAGGAAGAGCTCTAACGGGTGGGACAAGCCCTTCCCACTCCCACCCAGACGTGCAAACGGAGCTCACCCATTTTTTGTTGTTGTTGCCACTGTCATGAACCGGATCCCGACACCTCAGTGATTTACTAGGTTGGGATTTATCAGTGGGAAACGCCGCTCAGCCTACTGTCCCTGCCTATTACACCAAAAGTGATGGTTGTTTTCCTGAAGCCAGGAGAGGGGAATTAAAACGCTGAAAATAACCCAGTAGGTAGCAGAAGTAAAACTGAATTACCCCAAATGCGTACTGACAGTTCATGTAAATCGCTATTGATTTGTAGGAGCAGGCTGCCGCCCAACTTTTTTTAGTTGTGGAAATATTAATCACTGCCAAGTCTTAATGCCTAAAAATGGCCTTTGGGCTCTTTCCGGGCTGAAAAACCCGCATCTGGGAATTTCCCCAGCCGCTTCGCATATTAGTACAAGTGACGGCTTATCACGGCGTCAGCTTCCTGAAACATTTCCCGAGAAACATTTATCTTTTGGGCTTTGCGAGGAAGGAAACAAGAGCTTGGTACTTGCCGCCCACCCGCCCAAAAACCTCTGGTTTTGCTGTACATGAAGCAGAAGTGTAAATGCAATGCAGTAAGGGGCATAACCACATCCAAATTGCATTTCCAGCTGGAAAACTAACCTTGCAGCTTCCGGGCACGGCCAAGTCTTTTTGGTTGCCTAAGCCTCACTTGTGAAACACAGGTGAAGCTACATTGGATTGCTCAAGCATATTTTTAAAATACTCTAAAAAATGATAGTTACAGAAGGCACTTAGAAAGACATAAGCAAAGTATCTTCATCTAGCAGAACGTTTTTGGACTAAGAAAGTCGGCTTTGTCATTGAAATTCCAATGTAAATAACAATTAAGTTCTACTTGATACACAAATGTCAAGTAATTTTTTTTTTTTTGTTGTTGTCATGATTTGCATTTAAACTTGGAAATGTCAGAGACTTCAGGCTTGCTGCATTATCAGAAAGCTTCCCCAGTTCGCTCTGCTGACTGGAATACCCACTGCCGATTATCTGGCACATTATCAAGTAACCAAACACCATTTCAAGGAAACATCAAGGTCGATGCCCTGTGAGGTGTACTTGTTAATTTATGTTGATAAACCAGAGTGCTCAAAAGACTGTTGTAATAATATTCCAGTATATTTATATCAGCATATTTTATCAATTAGAGTCATTCAACAAGAATTTTCATAAAAAAGCAATTTTAGAGACCTTTAAAAGCTTTCTCATAGCTCCTCTAATGCCACCGCAATGGCATCATAAGAGTGTTCCTCCTCCATCCATGACCAAAGCAATACCTGACCGGTCGTAAACATGGGAACTCCTTTATGAGAAAGAGATGAAGACATTCAGAAATGGCAGGCATGTCTCGAAACGAACTCTTCCTCTTTTGCCACCTTCTGCACTAGCTCAATATCCTGAGAAGTTTTAAAACCTGCCGCCTGGCAGGTCACACCACGTTGAGCCAGCTCAGTGGCAGCTCCTTTGCAGGAAGGTGAACTGGATTGCAACGAAACCCCATCGCCAATATCCACCATCAGCCAACAGCTCCGACAACCACCAGCTCCAGAAGTGCATCGTCCAGCCACTCTGAGAGTCCACTACAGCGATCCATCGAGCAGCAATTCCTCAAATCACACTATACATCATCTTATTAAGAAACTCCATAAGTATCAGGGGTGCAATTAATTTTTATTAATTTTCTGAGATGAAATTAGTGGCACCCACAGCAGCAAACAAAGAACAGGGAGTGTTCCAGTTCAGCGCTGGATCGATGTCATTAATTCTGTAATACTGAGAGCCCTGATTGTATGAACTCAGCATTTAACTCTTCCAATTAATTTTTATATTAAAAGCAAAAAAAAAAAAAAGAAAGAAAACTAACTCAACGATTTAAGAAGGTCCTTGAACAGCCATCACAACTTTCCTTCTCCTGGGACATTCTTTCTTTCAAGTGTAAACACACAGGAGGAAGGTATGGTAATATTAATCAGAAAATTATTTTCATGCATTGCCTTTAGCAAACCAAACTCTTAAAATCATAAGACACTGCTGCAAAACATTTATAATCTCATATCTTTAATGACGCCATGTATACCCAGACTAGTTAATATGTTTTCTGACCACTTAATAGGCTTATCTGGCAAAGGTTCAGCAAGAAATTATTTTGCATTAATTCTGAAACTTGGGATTACCAGGTCAGAAAAAAGTCTTCTCTAATATTATCAGATTACCTGCTGTCCTGCAGCCAAGAAGGGGAGTGAAACAAAGCATTTATGCACCCACCAAGGTGAGACTCTCAGCTGCCATCAGCAGGAAAGGTCCATGTAAGGACCCTTCAGCCACCACAGCAGCTTTGGGTCTTGGAGAACCATTTGAGAAAGCAATTGGGTTTCAAATGTCTCCCTTTCCAGGTATTACAGACACATTTTAGTTAGACAAGCAAATGCATTACTTAAAGATGTCACAAAAAATACAGAAGAGACTGGAGGGGGGGGG